AGAATAATAATGCCATGTCGATATGTCGATATATTTAGGGAATTCTGAATTTAAAAATTAAAAGGCAGAAATTATTTCCATAATCTATGTTGTTTTTACTTATTAATTAAACAAATTAATTTTGTTTTTACAACCAATTTCTTTAGCATGGTATATTTGGAAGAAATTGTTTTACATTCATTATGAAGATACATGTATCACATACTACATGATCAGGGCTTGGGTTAGAAGGCCCCATGTCTCAGATTTCTAGCTAGCTGAAATATGGGAATCTTATCAAATGATAGAGATTCTCCTACCCCAACTACCAACAACTCACCTGATTGTAGTGCTCGTACTGAATGTAGATAGTCAATTTACAAAAAAAAGAATTTGAAGTTCTGCAAGCCCGACTCTCTTAATCCTTACTAATATTATAAATGCGAAAGTATCTCTGTCTGTCTCGATTACAAAATTACTGAACCGATTTAAATGGCATTTGGTACACAGATAGACCCTCAGAAATGACATAGATTACTTTTTGAAAAAGATTGTAAGGCGTTGAAAGGGCGCATGAAAGGTTGTATGGAAATATGGTTATTTTTTAAGTTTGGAGCTTGATTTTATTTTTAGTATGCTTATTAAATATAAATTCAAAGTTTGTAAAATTGTTATCCTTATGGGGTAAAATAAAATAGGGGATGAAAATGTGTGTCGAAATTAGTAATTTTTGAAGATGACAGAAAGAGAGAGAAGACGATGAAACTTTTTCTTTGGCTTTTTTGGATTAGATTATTAAATATTTTTTAGTTTTTTGGTCAAAGTCACTATTGTACGCGGACAAAGTCACAGGCACAGCTAGTAAAGTATATATGTAAGCTATGCAGGATTTTCTTTTCAGAAGCATTGTAGTTTGTTATATAAATTAAATTTTAGCTCCATTCTCTTATGGGCCGGTGCCAACTCTTATAACATGTAATGTTAATTGCTCTGTGGAATGGTGTTCTGAATTCAACAGAATCTATTCCTCGGTGGTCTAGCGGTTTAGCACATTGCTTTACTTCCAATGGTCGCGGCTCGATTTCTCGGCAGAAAAATTTGTATTCATGAGTATGACTGTAGCGGCACGGGTGTTTCTTATGTATATTATATATGTATTTACAAAAAAATGTGTCTAACCATTTATGTCAGTCGTTTAGTACCCATAACAAAAGCTCTGCTTAGCTCGTGGCTAGATGACGCTGTGTGAATTTCCCAGGTTTATTATTATTATATATAATTTTTTTATACGTTTATTAGTTTTAATATACAAATATTATTATACACTAACTCGCTCCGACTCCTTTTTTTATTAATTAAAATAAATACATCCCACGACACTCGGTAATAATGTAATATTCTGTAGGTTGTAGTTTAAAAAAATCGGTAATTATTATTTAATTTTACCATTACAAACGAACGTACCAAAATGGATATTAATGTATTGATACACATATTAGTATAAAGAGACAAAAATCTTTGAAATATTTGTATATAGGTATTACAAAACATACTAGACTATAGAACAGGTTCAATATAAAAGAAACCACGTGTAAATATATGTTTCTCAACCAATGGAGTAATATTCAAAATTAATAAAAAAGAATAATATTTAAAAAGTTTTCTAAAACTATTTTCTATTCACAAATAATTAGGTATAATTAATTCACAAACAAAACTTTTTATAATCAATCAATTTTTACAAAACAACCATAATTACAAATAGGGAGTGTTTTTCAAATACTGAATGAAGTCAGTTTTTCTCGCATATAATTTATTTTTTGCACATTTCTTTACGGTCCTACTTCTCAGTATATCCCGCGAAGTTTCGTTTCATATATATAATGTCAATCATTATAGTGAAAATTACTATACTCCAAAGGCCTGCTCATCAATGAGCAGTTTGGCTTCCGAGCCAAACACTCGTGCGTCCATCAAGTGCACCGCATCACGGAGCACATTCACAAAAACACTCTGTACTTCGCCACCAAGTCCCCCAAAGGCGGTACAGGCGTCCTATTTTTCGATGTGGCTAATATATGGCACAATGATTTACAAGCTTCATCAGGTTCCCCGACCTAGTACTCATTGTACAAGATTTCCTGTCGAATCGCTCTTATCGCTACCGTATAAACGGAGCGTTATCCGACCCGCGCCCCATACGAGCCGGCGTCCTTCAGGGCGCCGTCCTCTCTCCGATGCTCTACTCGTTGTACACCAACGACATCCCTAAATTCTCCGACTTAAAAGTCGAAATATCGCTGTTTGCCGATGACACGGCTCTCTTTACATCCGCCAAGTCCCGAGCGACAATAGTCAGACGGCTTCAGAAAGCCGTAACGATACTGGGCGAATGGTTCCGTCGGTGGCGCATAGAAGTCAATCCCGAAAAAGTGCAGCAGTGTACTTTAGTCATTATTTTAAGAATTCGACTCTATGAATCACCCGATCGAGCTATTCGGCCAAAACATCCCGTGGGTTTCGAAAACGAAATATCTCGGCATCACCCTAGATAGGAAACTAATCGTCCTCACATCAAGCGTGTCCGCGACCGAGCCGCCTTTATACTAGGGCGACTCTATCCTTTTATTAACAAGCACAGTAAAATGTCGCTTCGCAACAAGCTGACATTATACAAGGCTTGCATCCGTCCCATCATGACTTACGCTAGTCCCGTATTCGCCCACATACCCTGTTAATCAACCGACTTCAAATCATACAAAATAGGTTTCTGCGTCGAGCCACCGGTGCGCCGTGGTTCGTTCGCAGCGTAGACCTCCACCGCGATCTTAATCTGCCCTCCATCAAGCAGTTTATGAAGGAAGCGTCTCGACGCTACTTCGACTCTGCCCAATCCCACCCTAACCCGCTTATAGTCAGTGCGGTCGACTACGCACCGAGGAGTAATATCCGACATACGCGACAACGTCGCCCGAGGCACGTTCTCATTGACCCCGACGACCCCATAACGGCAGGTAACCTTCCCACGGGCCCACCCGTTCCACCCCGACCACACTTTTACACACACACACGACACCGTCCTCGCCGGCGAAGACGACGACCTCAAACACTCAATATCGCGCATTCAACCGGGCGCATGCGCGCGCCCGGGCGCTCCACACCGGCGCCCCCAGGCGCCGGTCTGAGCCGAGGTTCGAAACCCTAGTGGTGCCCTCAGACTAAAGTCGTATCCGTCAGGCAGGAGTTGGCATTCAGCCGCTCCATAAGTCCTTCCGCGGGTTTGGAGTGCCATCTGCACTCGCCCCATAACGTCCGGTGAAGCTGTAAAGGCCAGCTACGGCCAACAGCATTAGAGTAGTCCGAAAAAAAAAAAAAAGTGAAAATTACAGCAAAGGTATTACAGCGTTTACATGCAAATACTATAAAAGTGAAACTATGTCTGTATATACACTTGTTCTTTTACCTTTGTCATTATTTTAATTTATAAGACTCTTTGTCTATTTAAAAAAAAGAGCAACACGCAAATTTCTTGTACATTCTTCTTGCGGTGAGACAGCTTTCCGAATTAGCTGTAGATTAATATAATATTTAAGTAATGGCTATTCTAAAATGCTTAAATATAAGTTTATATGAATAAAGATTTTTTCATTATACTTTATTCTGTAATCAATTTTTAGATAGCTGCATATCTTGTCTGTGGTAATAGTAATCTGAATATGATAAAATAAATAACAGAGTAAACTAACCATAACACTTGACATATGGTACATGGTATATTATATATTTATTTATACATATACTCATTTATACATGTTTCGTAAGATCTGTGAGTATATGTGCTTGAATGTAAGTTAATAAAATAAAAAGTAACGTCATCGTAACTTACGACATCATCCTTTACTATAATTAATGTTTTACCTAATTTAATTACTTATTCAAATCACGAGACACAATTTGAAAACTTGTTCACTAATTTTTGTATATCATTATTTCGTACCAAATTAATGATATCGAATTAAAGAACTTTCATAAAGCCTCGTTCTATCAAAGTATTGTGCCGTCATTCTATCATTAGTTCAATACCATGCGTTCCTAAAATGTCAGTGAATACAAAATTGTTCAGCAACACTCTAAAATTTCTAGAGCCGTTTTACAAAGTTGCAGGCTTAAATTTATACGATAAGAAACATGCACTGATAAGACGCGCCACCTTCGTTTTTAATTTCCTCTCCCTCAATATAAACTCAGGTTGTTCATTCGGTGCTTTCGTAACGTCAGATGGGTCAGATATTATAGAAATATCTTACTTGGTCCCATGTGTAATTTACACTCATTTAGCAAATATTAAAGTCATTTATTTCATAGTACATGAGGAGGTTGTACATAAATTAATTAAATTAATTCAAAAACTAGAGACACGAGTGGATGATAGAGATATTATTGAACAAAAGTCGATTGATAAAGATCGAATTTTTTTAAACCGAGTAATAAAAATTTATAATGTGATGTACTTCCTTTTGGTGTTGGTATTCGCTGTAGCTCCATTGACAGTGGTTATTTTGAAATACTACGAAACAGGGGAACTGGAGTTAATGATACCATACCCTGTTTTATATCCTTTTAATCCTTATAATATTAAAATATATCCGCTAGTATACGGATATCAAGTTTGGTCGTGTAAGTACTTTACTTTTATAGAACTTAATTTTGCAATAAAATATTCATTTATTAAATTGAGGCGACTAATGTCCGTTTTTTTATGATTGATAATGGATGGTTCATCTGCCTGCGCTAACGGTTTACGCTGGCGGGGCTCCAGTGGAGGATGATATGATGAGCACGAGGTCAGGTCAGTTAGCCCTCCGTGACAAATTCACTAAGTAGTTATCACGATGGTTTCTAGGTTGATTTGTAAAGAAATTGCAGAAAATAGAGTAACTCACTTATAGACATTCCAATAAATTAATATCTCATTTTATATTATTTTTCCAGCTGTGGTTGTATGTTTATTTGTGTCCACAATGGATTACTTCTTATACACCACTTGTACTTACATCAAGCTACAGTTTAATATACTGAAGACGAAATTTGAAATGATGTTCACGCCTTCGAACAGCATATCTCAAGAACCAGATGATGTAATTACACTGGCAGAATTTCATGTCAAGCTTGAAGAATTGGTGACGTGGCATCAAGAATTAATTAAGTAACTATATATTTTATATATATTTGTTTCAGTTTCTAAATGTATATAATATAATACTTATGAATAATATTGTAAGTGATGTTTGCGAATTTTAAGCGAATTATTCTTATTATTATTACATTATACTTTATTTACTTTTATATTACTTCAAGTAACGACTTGCTTTTATTTACTTTGAAGCTTTGATTATTCGTTTGTTGTCATTACAAATGAAAAAATACTTTTTAACTCACATGCAACTTATTAAAATTTCTATATTGATAATGTTATGTATATTATATGTAAAAAATCGTCGTCGTTTGCGTGAGAACCTCAGTTTCACTTATTTCAGCCTTCAAACAGCTTGCTCTATAGCTGTGTTTCGGTTGTAGGCAGGTTGTTACAGAATAATAGGCATGATATCTTAATCCTCCAGAAAGAAAAAGAAATGTTGCTACTCCTGAACACATGACACCCGTGATACCATACGGTTGTCATGTGTGTCATGACGTCCGAAGTGCTGTTCATGTTAAGTATATAGGCGACGGTTACCACTCACTATTATTTTCATCAGATTATTTGTTATTCCAATTACAACAAGCAACACACAAGTTTCTTGCTTATTCTTCTTGTGATGAGACAGCTTTCCGAATAAGCAATAGATTTAAAAAAATTTTGACTATTCAAAAGTGCTTAAATTAAGTTTATTTGAATAAATGATTTTCTATTTTAACGACGAAAACATTTCGAAAAATATGTACCAATTACAAATAAGTACATTTATTGTGTATTAACATAATATTCTGATTTGTTTCAGAGCAGTTGATATGCTTGAATATATTTTTACCAAGGCAACTTTGTACAATATTTCAGCGAGTTCACTAATGATATGTTTGGCATTGTTCAACGCTTCGGTCAGTCATATTTATTAAATAGATAATTATTTATATACAACCAATTTACTTATTAAATAATACTATTTATTCAAATTACAAATTATTACACTATACGATACTCCTAAGTAAAAATGTAGCGAGACATTTTTATTCACAATATTTAATATGTTTGTAATAATTGTAGTACTTGTTCTAGAAACATAACTGACCATTTGTTTTCTTTTACAGATTATCAAAGACACTGCCTTAGTGTTATCATTTTTTGTTTTCCTATGTGTGATATATCTACAAATATACTTTTTATGCTACTTTGGTAACATTATATCGGAATCGGTAATATACCTACATCAATTTTAATATCATACATTCAATTTAAAATTTGTTTTCATATATGTAAGAGAAATTTGATAAAGTTTCTAAAACGAATATGTTTTTATGTTTGCAAAGTTAAATGGCTTAGTTTCGTGACAACAGCCCGAAACAGACTTTAGTACATATTACTCAGATTATTTGATTTCCAAACCCGTTTCTTACATAATTTATAGATCTAAATATAAATTCATTTGACATACTATTATTCTTAAGTCAATAATGTAATTTATATTTTTCTAAGCAGCGCAAGCTACACATACACATATTACACCGTTTTATTTCAGAGCGTTGAAATAACTGAAGGCGTATACAATAGTAAATGGTATCTGATGGATGCTTCAGTTGGGAAACATCTGTTACTGGTGATGATGAGGTATCTGTTATATTATTTACTGGTGGCTCACCGCTTCGTTCGTTGCTCATAAATTAAAATATCACTAGAATAATGTACCTTCAAAGAGTGAAAGAATTTCTCAAAACGGTGTAGTGATTCCTTGGTTGACTTTCCTGATACAACATAATAAAGTTTAATCAGAAGTGTACTTATATACTTGACATTTTATATTGTTTTAGTACCTGTATGTAAAAATCGACTGTAAAAATATTACTATCAGTGAGGTCTATCTATTATTCCACATTCTGGATTCCATGGCCGATTATTTAAAAAATTTTGATATAGGCATTTTGTTAATTTAGTTTCAACTCTTTGTCATAATATTTAAACATTTATTATCCTTTCAAATATCATATAATTTGAATTTATGAATGTTCTTAGATCTCAAAAGAAGTGCAAATTAACTGCATTTGGTTTCGCTGACATCGACCTGAATGTTTTTATGAGGGTAAGCGTCCTTATTTCCTAACTGAACAGTGTGTAACTAATTTTAATTATTAATTAAATTATTTTGTTACAGATACTGAGAAGCGCTTGGTCCTACTTCGCTCTATTAAAAACATTCTATCCTTAAAAAGTTCGAGTTGCAAAGTTACAAACATATTTGATAACAATTTATTTTATACAACACAGTTTTAGATGTCCTACAATAACACAAAATTCACTCAATCACTCAATTTATATTATTCAAGAAGATTGTAGAAATAGCATAGATGTAACTTAATACATAATTCTAAAACACAAAATCGATTTTTGCATCCAGAAATAATTTATAAATTCTAGTTAATATATACAATACTTACTGGCAACAACAATAAATAATCGGAATCCGATGAGTGTTTACGGCGACGTACTTTAACAAACAAACAATACTGTTGTTGTTGAGTCTTGGAAGCATCATTTAAATTTTATTTTATTCGATAGGAATAATATAATATTCGAATAGCGGCTTCGAACGGGTGCAATTAAAATCAGAAATTCTTTTCTATACAATATATAAAATTTTAAAATCTGTTGCTTAAATTAAAAGATCTAAGCGTGCAGACAGCGGCAGTATCTTTGTTTTATAATCTCGTAATGCAAATAGTAGTGCACCAATACACTAATAAAATTTATAATACTTCTGTTGTTGAGTCTTTTGGAAACATCTGTTAGATTTTATTTCCTTCGATAGTAATGATATTATTTGGAATACTAGCAACCTGCCCCGGCTTTGAACGAGTGCAATATAACTATTAATTCTGTAACTATAAACACATAGTATGTAGAAATTTCAATTGAAGTTTTCTGATCACAAGTAGTACAATATTACACTAATAAAATTTCAGAGGTTTGTGTTGTTTTATATCAATTTCATTTCATAACATTTCTCCTTGTTTTAATTTACCGATTAAAGATATTGCGAGGTCGACTAAACTCTTACCATCATAACAGTTTCATTACCTTGTACTGACCACCAAAATAGAAGGAAACATTTTACAGAGTTTTTTTTAGAGTTTCTTAGATGTCTTTTTCTGAGTTTAAATAGGCAGGCAGGAAACTCGTCTGAATTTCTTAATTTTAAAAAGCCAGTTAGTCATCATTGTTTATTTAGGTGTCTATTACTCACTAAACGATTACTTAAATGACATAAGTTCAATAGTTGTTGTCACACTGGATTTTCATTTAATGTACAATTAATGTACTGTATTAATGTACAATTTTAAAGCCTATTTTACGCTCTAAACGTTTAGACCCTAGTACTTGCTATTTAATTGTTGAAATTGTATTAGTTATCAGTATTACTAGTATTATAGTTTATAGAGTCAGTAAGTTATTTGTTAATAAACAGTACGTAAGATGCGTAATTTTTTTTTATACAAGATAATGGAATGGTGCACTCGCCTGCGCTAACGGTTTACACTAGCGAGGCACTATTGGAGGATAATAGGATGAGCAATAGATCAGATCAGTTAACCCATTGTAACACATTGACGAGGAGTTTATCATGGTTTCCAGAGGAAATTCCGTGGATATCAATCTACCATGGTACATTGCTATCATTAATTAGTCCACTTTACTAACAATTGTATTTGAGAAGATAACACACAACACAAACCTAAAAGACAAGAAACATGCCGAGTACTCCACTCGGCGCATTTCGCTCTCGCTCATTTCAGCGCGTTATGTAAAAAAATGTTTATTTTACTTTTTTTTATTGCTTAGGGAACAGACAATCTTGCGGCTCATCTGATGGTAAGTGATTACCGCCGCCCATGAGTACCCACAACACCAACACACAAATGCATTGCCAGCCTTTTAAGACGGAATAAGATCTTTTCTTCAAGGTTGCAATAGAATAAAAAAAATACTATTCAAAAGTCCTTATATTAAGTTTATTTGAATAAAAAAAAATTATCTTTATACATAGTTTCTATTGTATACACTAAATAAATAATTAGTACTATCATCTTTCTTTCTTTCTGAAAGGTAAGAACGGGCACACAACGTTGTATATTCATCTGTTATCAACAAACAATCATTGAGCTGATAACCTCTGCAACATCTAACGCAGATAAATATATCTCGCCCCCATATAAACATTTGGATTCCGGGTTCGATAAGCGAAAAATTGTTATTCAAGGAAATAACACAAACGGTACTTTGTATTCAATGAAACGCTATAGCGTTTAAAGGACAAAGGGAATTCATCCCCACACGCTGGAACCAAAGTCTGTCTCCGGACAGTGCAGGTTCAGAGGAGTTTCCAGCTGCCAAAATTTCTTAAGGCAACGCGCACGTGATACCCCTGGTGTCTCAGGCGTCCATAGGCATCAGATGGGCCTTATGTTTGTTTGCCACCATCGTAACATAAAATGAAACAGTTTTTATTAGTTAAATATAGGACATATACTTTAGTTGACAAGAACTGGCATGAAAGAAACGCAACTGGTACATGTTTTGTTCTTTTTTAATCAGTTCTTTAATCTATCTTTGCATCAAATTTCATTATAATCTGTTCAGCCGTTTTGTGAAAATGTAATACAGACAGATATACTGTCATATTTATAATATTAATATAGATTGGTATGTATGTATCTGCACTTAGTTTCATATACACTTTTTTCTCTTCCTATGGCTTTGGCGACCATAAATACTTTATAAAATTTAAAATGTCGCTAAAATAGCCGCCAGACTATTTCAATTGACAGCCAGACGTGGTACCAAGACTCGATAGCTTTTCGAGGGTTGACAAATTATTATGCAATAATAAAAGCTCTTAACTCAATCCGATAAGATCTAAATTTAAATAAACGGTGCATTTTTTAAATAGGTCACATTGCCTACTCAGCAAAAATACTAAAAAGTTGAAAATCACTCTTACTCCCTTGACATAAAGATAATTTGAATGTAAGATAAACTAGTTCTGATTACAAGAACTTTATTACGTACATCGTAAGGTCTGTTTTAGATTAATAGAATAAGTATATCCACAGACGGCGGGCGATGTTGGCCGACAAAGAATACTTTGCTATCATAATAAACTTTACCGCACTGTAATAAGAGTTATTTTGTTTCATTTGGTTTACAAAAGTAATTTAGCAGGGGACATGATAGCAGGAACCCGTGTGCGACGGCATGCAACGATACCGGATTGCCGAGTATACATGAGATTATCAAACGACGAATATTGGTCTGAAGATTAATGTAATAATGGAGGAATAGCACTAAAATATCAACATTTTACTGCTCATACGACTCCAACACTGGAGGACTAAGATGTATTTATTTTATAACATATTAGTAGTATTGTAATTATAAATTCCTTATACACTAAAATGTATATGGAATAATACTACAAATATAAATTATCTGTGGCCACGGCTCTGACGACGACAATCTGTCACTGTAGCGCCGATACACGATCCTCTTCGGGCACCAGTTCTCCTTTATGAAGGTGGACAGCATGTTGGTGGGGACCCGGGCCACAAACGCCTCAAAACTCGCATTGTGACTCGACTCCAGCTCGTCACCCTCAATGTCAGGTTACCTCTAATCCGTATGTAGTCGACAACGTTCTGCAGCTTTTTGGTGCAGTGTAGGCGGGACTAATTGGTAGCGCCAATTATGAATTCTTGTTTATCAATAATGAATAAAAATATAGACGAGTATTAGAAATATCATTGGTTTATCTTGGGAAATTTATTTCGGTGTGGGGCACGACAATGCCATGCCACCGGGCTGACACGAAGCAGGCGGTGCCCGCCGCCCGTCTCACTATTTTTTTTCTTTTTCCCAAACTTTTTTCTTCGTGAAATCTGTATCGCACGATACACGAACACTTTGCGTGGTTCACAAAAACTTCCTCTAGTTACGTGATGGTAAAAAATATAGAAATAACAACTGGGGACGGGAAAGTTGGTGGTATGCTTGCTACAACTGGGTATAGTTCCACTCTCCTACTTACTTGACTATATTTAAATAGTCATGACTACAGTTCCACTCTCCTACTTGCTTGACTTTATCTGAGTAGTCATGACTATAGTTCTACTCGTCAACTTGCTTGACTATATCTGCGTAGTCATGACTATAGTACCGCTCTTTTAAAGGGAAATAAATAATTTGTTTCCCTTTAAAATATCAAGAATGATTAAGAAATAATATTATATTATAAAGCAATTATAATTGTAGTCGTGTACTGATTACAGTGCAAGTATCTACATAATTAACTGGAAGGGTTATTATTATTTATGAAACAATTATTCTGTATTAAACTTTAAATATCATGTAACACTTATATTTATTTTATATAGGTTTCCGTCCATGGTTTCGTCTACATTTGTATTTACAAATTTTATTCAGTTAAGAAATTGATAGAGAGTAGAGATAGTGTTAAAAATTGACAAGCAAAGGTATGAGAAATTGTCCTATTTGATTAAACAGTTTTGATTTACACGTTGTCTTTGAATAAAAAAAATCAAATAAACTTAATGGGATTTTTTTTTATTCTACTCGTCTTTCGGGATACAATATTCAGCACAAAAAGAATGACAAAATGCCTGAAAGAAGAATGGCACTTGCTGGTTACTTTTTTAAACAAATCAATCGGTTATCGATGTCTAAGTCTATTGTCTTGTAAAGGTTCATGAACATCCATTAGGCTTTGCGTGAAAGAGCAATCAACTAATTTACCAAGGACAATAGAGAGTATATAACCATCATGCGATATATATACACAAAAAAACTTCCATACATACAATTTAAGTGGTGTGAAAAACTGTGACACACTGCATGCCTTTGGTCTGAAGGACAAAACTAATTGCAAATAACACCTCGCCTTTTGTCAGTAATATATAATTATTCTATGGCGTCGTATAACCATATATATTTAAAATGCATAATGCAATGCATCGATAGCCACTTCCCATGCATTGTAGATTGCTACTTACATGCAAAATAATTAAAAACATTCATAAAGCCTCTACCTACCAAAGTACTTATATCGTATCGTGATTCTAACAGTACGTCCCTAAAATGTCAGTAAATATCAAATTGTTCAGTAACACTTTAAAATCTCTAGAGCCGTTTTATAAATATGCAGGCTTGAATTTGTACGATAGAAAACATGCGTTCACAAGACGTATCACCTTCATTTTTAATTTCCTCTCCCTCAATGTAAACTCAGGTTGTTCATTCGGTGCTTTCGTAACGTCAGATGGGTCAGATATTATAGAAATATCTTACTTGGTCCCATGTGTAATTTACACTCATTTAGCAAATATTAAAGTCATTTATTTCATAGTACATGAGGAGGTTGTACATAAATTAATTAAATTAATTCAAAAACTAGAGACACGAGTGGATGATAGAGATATTATTGATCAAGAGTCCATGGATAAAGATCGAATTTATTTAAACCGTGTAATAAAAATTTTTAATCTGATATACTTCCTTTTGGTGTCGGTATTCGCTGTAGCTCCAATGACAGTGGTTATTTTGAAATACTACGAAACAGGGGAAGTAGAGTTATTGATACCATACCCAGTTTTATATCCTTTTAATCCTTATAATATTAAAATATATCCGATAGTATACGGATATCAAGTTTGGTCGTGTAAGTACTTTCCTTTTATAGAACTTAATTTTGCAATAAAATATTCATTTATTAACATTGCGGCGACTAATGGCCGTTTTTTTATGGTTGATAATGGATGGTTCATCTGCCTGCGCTAACGGTTTACGCTGGCGGGGCTCCAGTGGAGGATGATATGATGAGCACGAGGTCAGGTCAGTTAGCCCTCCGTGACAAATTCACTAAGTAGTTATCACGATGGTTTCTAGCTTGATTTATAAAGAGATTGCAGAAAATAGAGTAACTCACTTATAGACATTCCAATAAATTAATATCTCATTTTATATTATTTTTCCAGCTGTGGCAGTATGTTTATTTGTGTCTACAATGGATTACTTCTTATACACCACTTGTACTTACATCAAGCTACAGTTCAATATACTAAAGACTAAATTTGAAACGATGTTCACGCCTTCGAACAGCATATCTCAAGAACCAGATGATGTAATTACACTGGCAGAATTTCATGTCAAGTTTGGAGAATTGGTGACGTGGCATCAGGAATTAATTGAGTAACTATATATTTTATTATTATATATATATATCATATATATATTTGTTTCAGTTTCTAAATGTATGTAATATAATACTTATGAATAATATTGTAAGTGATGTTTGCGAATTTTAAGCGAATTATTCTTATTATTATTACATTATACTTTATTTACTTTTATATTACTTCAAGTAACGACTTGCCATTTACTTTGAAGCTTTGATTATTCGTTTGTCGTCATTACAAATGAAAAAATACTTTTTAACTCACATGCAACTTATTAAAATTTCTATATTGATAATGTTATGTATATTATATGTAAAAAATCGTCGTCGTTTGCGTGAGAACCTCAGTTTCACTTATTTCAGCCTTCAAACAGCTTGCTCTATAGCTGTGTTTCGGTTGTAGGCAGGTTGTTACAGAATAATAGGCATGATATCTTAATCCTCCAGAAAGAAAAAGAAATGTTGCTACTCCAGAACACATGATGTTGGTGGTGGTTGGTTGGTTGGTTGGTTGGTATATGATTATGGTGTTACATAATAATGTGACGTCCGTAGTACTGTTCATGTTGAGTATGTAGGCGACGGTTACCACTTACTATTATTTTCATCAGTTTGTTTGTTATTCCAATTATAACGAAAAATATTTCGAAAAATATGCACCAACTACAAATAAGTCCATTTATTGTGTATTAACATAATTTTCTGACTTGTTTCAGAGCAGTTGATATGCTTGAATATATTTTTACCAAGGCAACTTTGTACAATATTTCAGCGAGTTCACTAATGATATGTTTGGCATTGTTCAACGCTTCGGTCAGTCATATTTATTAAATAGATAATTATTTATATACAACCAATTTATTTATTAAATAATACTATTTATTCAAATTACAAATTATTACACTATACGATAAGTAAAAATGTAGCAAGAAATTTTTATTCACAATATTTAATATGTTTGTAATAATTGTAGTACTTGTTCTAGAAACATAACTGACCATTTGTTTTCTTTTACAGATTATCAAAGACACTGCCTTAGTATTATCATTTTTTGTTTTCCTATGTGTGACATATCTACAAATATACTTTTTATGCTACTTCGGTAACATTATATCGGAATCGGTAATATACCTACATCAATTTTAATATCATACATTCAATTTAAAATTTATTTTCATATATGTAAGAGAAATTTGATAAAGTTTCTAAAACGAATATGTTTTTATGTTTGCAAAGTTAAATGGCTTAGTTTCGTGACAACAGCCCGAAACAGACTTTAGTACATATTACTCAGATTATTTGATTTCCAAACCCGTTTCTTACATAATTTATAGATCTAAATATAAATTCATTTGACATACTATTATTCTTAAATCAATAATGTAATTTATATTTTTCTAAGCAACGCAAGCTACACATACACATATTACACCGTTTTATTTCAGAGTGTTGAAATAACTGAAGGCGTATACAATAGTAAATGGTATCTGATGGATGCTTCAGTTGGGAAACATCTGTTACTGGTGATGATGAGGTATCTGTTATATTATTTACTGGTGGCTCACCGCTTCGTTCGTTGCTCATAATTTAAAATATCTAGTCAATGTCACTAGAATAATGTACCTTCAAAGAGTGAAAGAATTTCTCAAAACGGTGCAGTGATTCCTTGGTTGACTTTCCTGATACAACATAATAAAGTTTAATCAGAAGTGTACTTATATACTTGACATTTTATATTGTTTTAGTACCTGTATGTAGAAATCGACTGTAAAAATATTACTATCAATAAGGTCTATTTATTATTACACATTCTGGATTCCATGGCCGATTACTTCAAAAATTTAGATATAGACATTTTGTTAATTGAGTTTCTCTCTATTGAGAGTGAACTTTTTGGCATAATATTTAAACATTTATTATCCTTTCAAATATCATATAATTTAATTTATGAATGTTCTTAGATCTCAAAAGCAGTGCAAATTAACAGCATTTGGTTTCGCTGACATCGACCTGAATGTTTTTATGAGGGTAAGCGTCTTTATTTCCTAACTGAACAGTGTGTAACTAATTTTAATTATTAATTAAATTATTTTGTTACAGATAATGAAAAGCGCTTGGTCCTACTACGCTCTATTAAAAACATTCTATCCTTAAAAAGTTCGAGTTGCAAAGTTACAAACATATTTGATAATAATTTATTTTATACAACACAGTTTTAGATGTCCTACAATAACACAAAATTCACTCAATCACTCAATTTATATTATTCAAGAAGATTGTAGAAATAGCACAGATGTAATTTAATACATAATTCTAACACACTAAGTCCATTTTTGCATCCAGAAATAATCTATAAATTCTAGTTAATACATATATACAATACTTACTGGCAACAACAATAAATAATCGGAATCCGATGAGTGTTTACGGCGACGTACTTGAACAAACAAACAATACTGTTGTTGTTGAGTCTTGGAAGCATCATTTAAATTTTATTTTATTCGATAGGAATAATATAATATTCGAATAGCGGCTTCGAACGGGTGCAATTAAAATCAGAAATTCTTTTCTATACTATATATAAAATTTTAAAATCTGTTGCTTAAATTAAAAGATCTAAGCGTGCAGACAGCGGCAGTATCTTTGTTTTATAATCTCGTAATGCAAATAGTAGTGCACCAATACACTAATAAAATTTATAATACTGCTGTTGTTGAGTCTTTTGGAAACATCTGTTAGATTTTATTTCCTTCGATAGAATGATATTATTTGGAATACTAGCGACCTGCCCCGGCTTTGAACGAGTGCAATATAACTATTAATTCTGTAACTATAAACACATAGTATGTAGAAATTTCAATTGAAGTTTTCTAATCACAAGTAGTACTACACACTAATAAAATTTCAGAGGTTTGTGTTGTTTTATTTCAATTGCATTTCATAACATTTCTCCTTGTTTTAATTTACCGATTAAAGATATTGCGAAGTCGACTAAACTCTTACCATCATAACAGTTTCATTACCTTGTACTGACCACCAAAATAGAAAGAAACATCTTGGAGGGAATTTCTTAGAGGTCTTTTTCTGAGTTTATATAGTTGCTGTGTCTATACGGTACTTGTTACATCTGAATTTCTCTAGAATTTCTCTCTGAGAATCTATTAGATTAGGGGTCGAAACATGAAATAATAAGATACCTTCTTCATGAATATTCTTTCTTCTCTTCTTATTTGAAAGTGTGATGGTTTGCTATGACGACTTCTAGGCTGTAAAGGTCGTGTCTTTGAATCGGACCAACATCAAGAAAAAAAATATATTAATTTATAATTCTCTCAATTCCTCGCTGATTATGGAAATAATATATATAAATGAATGCAGACTCGGTACAAAGACGTATGATATTTGTATCTGATTGTATTACTAGCACCTCTTGCTCCTTTCGTTTTTCTTCTTTTTTATTCATTTGTAATATTTTTTATTAAAAGACGGAATGACAAACGGCCTGTTCGAACCCTGGCACTCAGGACACTACGCACCGGCGCCCTCGGCTGCACCTCCGATCCGATCGATCCTCCGTCCAATTCAAATGGGGATCGAAATTACGACAGCCTGAGCCGAGGTTCGAACCCCTATCGGTGGGGGGAAGGGGATTGTTAGTAATATGAACTCATGACCTATTACTAGCAATGTGCCATGTCAGGTTGACCTCCACGCGGTTTCCCCTGGAAACCATCGTGATAAATTCCTGGTAAATTTGTCATGATCGGCTAACTGACCTGACCTCATGTTCATCTTATCATCCTCCACTGGTGCCCCGCCAGCGTAAACCGTTAGCGCTGACGGCTGCACCATTCCATTATCATCTTTAAAAAAAAGAACCCCTATCGGTGACCTCAGACTAAAGTCATATCCAGGCAGGCACCTATGGTAGGAGTTGGCCTTCGACCGCTCCATAAGTCTTTCCTTACTTGACTTGACTTAAAAAAAAATATTCGTAAAGAATTCTTTTTATTTATGTTTCGACCTCATAATCACACAGATTTTTCTACGGAAGTTGGAATGTAACAAATGAAGGATAGACAACATTGTGTTGTGTACTGCAAATAAAAATAACAAGCAAGTCGCGTCGTTATTCAGGTGAGCGGCGATGTGCGAACATGTGAACCAAATAACCCGGCGCGGCGGATTGCCCGCGCACAGAGCAACTAACTCGCAGCACACTGGATGGTTTTTGTGCTTGTATCTTGTTGGGATGTGCAACTCCATCCCGTTAGATTTCAATACACTGACTTCTAAATACATACCCTTACTGTTTTGTTACTTACAAAGTAAATCTTGACTTATCTGTTGACCTGTCGTGGTAAATGCCTATATCAGTTTATACAAGTTACTTAAATAAAATTTGACAAGTTCCCGAGTTAGATGTTACTAAAAAAAATGTGTTTAATAACTACTTTAGTATTAATAATATTTGTATCGGCTTTTGTATTCAAATTTTAAAAAAATAAATAAGTGGATACATAATAGAAAGAGTTATTATGTTTTTGAGGACATTTTTATAAATTATAACAGTATGTGTATTTTATTTGTAATCTCACGGATAAGTGGATAATAATAATAATATTATTTAGTAATTTCAAAACATCCGATATAGTCAAAATTATTTTATATTATACTAAGTTAACCCGCGAGTTCATTTACTTGTTTGAGGTAAAATACAGGTTACTTTCGTCCTCGAGGTACACTTTATCTTCAAGTAAAATTTCATTAGTATCCATTTAGTCGTGAAAAGGTAGGTTTGTAGCAAAAATAAACCTCTGTATGTGTTAGAATTATATATTAAGTTACATTTGTACTATTTCTACAATCGTCTAGAACATTTAATAATATAAGTTAAGTGATTAATATTACGTTATGTTTTGCATAATTTAAAATAAATTATTATTGAATATGTTTGAAACTTATGGCTCGAAATTTTTAAGGATAGAATGTTTTTAATAGAGCGAAGTAGGACCAAGCGTTACTTAGTATCTGTAACAAAATAATTTAATTAACTACAAACATTAGACACACTGTTCAGTTAAGAAATACGGACGCTTACCCTCATAAACACATTCAGGTCGATGTCAGCGAAACCGTATGCTGTTAATTTGCACTGCTTTTGAGATCTAAAAACATTCATAAATTAAAATTATATGATGTTTGAAAGTACGCTAATGAGATGAAACTAAATTAACATAGAATACCTGAATCTATATCTAAATTAATATTTAAAGTCGCCCTGAAATCCAGTGCGTGGCACAATAAATAGACCTTACTAATAGCAATAACGTTAGTTTCAACGTATAGGTACTAAAACATTATAAAAACTGCTTCGAAACTGTAACCACTGCATCCAATTCAGTAATTCTTTCACAGTTTGAAAACTACATTATTCCAGTATGTCATAAACTACATAACATGGTAATGTATAAAAAAACTAACAAGTTAGAAGTGTCCGACCGGTCACTATTAAATAATATAACAGATACCTCATCATCACCAGTATCAGATGTCTTCCAACTGAAGCATCCATCAGATACCATTTACTGTTGTATACGGCATCACTTATTTCTACGCTCTGAAATAAAACGTATATGTATGTGTTGTTTAACAAATACATATTTAGATGTATAGATTATATCAGGAAAACGTTGTTGAAATCAGATAATATGGGTAATTTATATGGTAATCTGTTTCGGGCTTTTTCATCACCATTTAAATTTGTAAACATATAAAATATATTCTTTTTAGAAATCTCAAATTTCGCTTACATGATTATATAAAAATGAAAATAAGTATTATATTAAATTTAAAATATTTATATTTATGTATATTACCGATTCCGATATTATGTTACCAAAGTTGCATAAAAAATATATTTGTAGGTATGTCACACATAGGAAAATAAAAAATGATATTACTAAAGCAGTATCTTTGATGACCTGTAAAAGAAAACAAATAGTCATGTTTCTAGAAGAATAAATATGATTGACTTAAGTTATCTTATAAATTATATAGTTATATATTATAACTATTCTGTAGTGCAATAAATTGTAATTTGGTTGACTAGTATTATTTAATAAATAAATCGTTTATATGTAAATATTTTTTTATTAAATATAACTGACCGTAGCGTTAAACAATGTCAAACATATCATTAACGAACTCGCTAAAATATTGTACAATGTTGATTTAGTAAAAATATATTCCAGCATATCAACTGACCTGAAAGAAATCGGTAAATGATGTTAAAAATACACAATGAAAAAATGTTTATTTCTGTAAATAATATTTAAATATATTTGATTGTTTAAAGAAAAAAACTAAATTAATTTGTTAAATTTGTAAAAATATGTACCAATCATATTTTTACAAATGTAATGTTTTTTTTTGTAATTGGAATTGCAAACAAACTGATGAAAATTATGGTAACAAACAATTGTTGTTTTCTCTTGTAATGACAACAGTCAAAGCTTCAAAGTAAATACATAGTTAAATTGTTACTTCAAGTAGGTACATAACGTAAATTAGTAAATTACAATAATAATGAAAGTAATTCACTTAAAATTTATCAAACATTACTTACAGTAATACATGATATTATGAACAGCTAGAAACTGAAACAGTTTTTTTTTAGTTTCTAGATGTTTTAGCTAGCTTTATAAATAATGTATCAAAGATAGAGTTATTACTTAATTAATTCCTGGTGCCAGGTAACCAATTCCTTAAACTTGACATGAAATTCTGCCGGTGTAATTACATCATCTGGTTTTATAGACATACTGTTCGAAGGCGAGAACAACTTTTCAAATTTCGTCTTCAGTAAATTGAATTGTACCTTGATGTAAGTACAACTGGTATAAAAGAAATAATCCTTTGTACAAACGAACAGACTGACGGCAACAGCTTTAAGAAATATATAAAAAAATATTAATGTTAACTTATTGGAATTTTTAAATATTTATATTTTATAATACACTGATTTATATTATAAGTTTAATTGGTCTCGATGGTCTAGCGGATTAGCACACCCCATAAATTATGATGGTCGCAGGTTTGATTCCTCGCACGGTACAAACTATTATATTCATGAGTATGAACATCTGTATTCGACTGGGTATTTCAATATTTTTGTATGAATTTAAAAAAAATGTACCTAAGTATTTATAACAGTTGGTTAGTACCCACAACACAAGTTTTGCTTAGCTTGGGCTCGCTGTATATATTGTCTATGGTTATTATTATTTTTTTTAATTTTTAATTTAAACCGATATTTAACAGACCTAAGGGTTTTTTTACAAAATTCTTGTACATATAACACTAAGAATGATGTTTTTAACGTGATCACTTTTTGATATTGTTTTCCTAATATTAAATATATATAATGTATATGTAGGTATATCGCGAAATTGCAAAATCCTATAAATACATAATACTCACTCGACCAAATTTGATGTACGTATACTATCGGGTATATTTTAATATTATATGGATTAAAAGGATATAGAACTGGGAATGGTATCATTAAATCTACTTCCCCCGTTTCATAGTATTTCAAAAACGAAACCGTCAATGGAGCTACAGAGAATACCAACACCAAAAGAAAGTACATCACATTATAAATTTTTATTACTCGGTTTAAAAAAATTCGGTCGGCGTCAATCGATTTTTGTTCAATAACATCTCTTTCATCCACTCCTGCCTCTAGTTTTTTGAGTAATTTAATTAATTTATGTACAACCTCCTCATGCGATATGAAATAAGAGACTTTAATGTTTGCTAAATAAGTGTAAATTACACACGGAACCAAGTAAGAAATTTCTGTAAACTCTTTCCCATCTGCCGCTACGAAAGCACTGAAAGAGCAACTTGTGTCCATATTGAGACAGAGGAAATTAAAAACGAAGGTGGCGCGTCTTATCAATGCATGTTTTTTATCGTACAAATTTAAGCCAGCAACTTTATAAATCGGTTCTAGATTTTTTAAGGTGTTGCTGAACAATTTTGTATTTACTGACATTTTAGGAACGTACGATTATGATACAATCACGACAGTGTATACGTAAATAGAATGGAGTATTATGAAAGTTTTTTTAACGAATTAGACATTGAGAACGAACTATTGACATTTAAAAATATTAGATCAACTTTTCTAATTAATGACTCGTGATTTGAATATAAAATTAGATATTGTTATAAAGGATGGTTTATATAAATATTTTATTATTATAATTCTCTTTAAAATATTTGAATGCATTATTATTATCTATTAGATATTTAAAATATTATTTATTTAGAAGTCAAAATAGAAACAATAACAGAAATATAATGTCGACGGCCGCCTTTGATCATCCCACGCACCCCTGCCCACTTGTTGCTCGGATCTGCAACCGCGCGGGACTTATTGCACCCCTCGTTGTGATGTCTGATTGTACTGTGTCAGTTACACGACTCTCTGTCTCCGTGTACTCTGTGGGAAACGGTTTTGGCGGGAATTCGGAATATTCGATATCTCCATCTACGTGATTTGAAATAATTCGAATATGGAACAATTTACGACGCCAGATACTCTATATAGTCAATTTTACATTATGGAAACATTTCAATAGTATCATGTGATGTAAATAAACATTATAAAACTTAGTTACGCTTTATTTGTTATACTTAAATATTATTTTATTAATAAAATATTTCAACTTTATAAATCTTAATAAAATAAATTAAGTCACTGAACTGACTAGGTACGTAAACATTTTACCTACTAATCTATACCTACTAATATTGTAGAATATAGTATATTTTTTGTACGTACAGATTTAGTCGTCATATTTGAAAAATATAGTACCGATTTTGAAAATAATCCGGTTCTGAGATAAAGTAATTTATTTATATAGGACGGCAGGGAACAAAATAATAATACAACAATATTGACGTTCATAAGCGGCTAAAATGTTCTATATGATTAAATGATTTCTGATTCGATTTGATTTCTCGGATGTGTGAAACCCCACAAATGCAGAAGTACATGAAATATACATTCTAACAATAATTTTTTGTGGATTATCTTTTATGATTTTCTTTTTAAAGGCTTTTTGTTCTATTGACAGTCTCCAACAATAATAACAATTTTCCTTCTATATCTTCCATCTAAGTACACATAGCTATCAGATAATTTTTTATTACATATATAGTTGCCATATAACAGAAAGATAGATATATAATATTTTTTATTTGTATCTTAGTACACACATATAGGCTTAATTATAACATTACATAACAAGTATAACAATCCAGTAAGGGTAAACCTGTGTATGCTACAGCAATACAAAACTGTTACATAGCTCTGTGTGGAGAACCACTCAAGGAGCAAAACACTGATTTTCAGCAATGTCGAGGGTGAATAATGTATTTTTATTTTTAAAAACAAAAATAAAGTGAACGAAATAATATGAAGTCAATAATAAAGAAACTTGAAACTAGGAAGATGACCTTAGAGTCAGACGATTTATATATATGACGGAAATTCAGTTTACGGGATACGAGAGATTCATGAAAGCTTTTCAACAACTGCACTGAAATACAGCGGAATGTGGCGCTATACTATTTGTTCTTTTTTCTGCCAACGATTTGGATGGTTGTGTTCATCTGTGATTAATGGAACGGAGTTTTAACTCGGACGCAACAAGTGTTTGTTCAGCGCATTTTTTACTTACCTTCTATCTACAGTGATATTGTTTGCGAAATATTAATGTGAAAGTATGGCTGTACTTCTGTTTACTTTTAAGAACTATACTGTACTAATATCTGGGCAGAAATGAAATGTCATTATCGATGCAAATATTAAAAAATAATAGTGTGACCTTCTATCTATTTTTCTGTCTGTTCGACGACTGAATGTCGACTAGTCTCAATGAATACAAAAGTAACATTTTAATGAATTGTCGGTCTCGGTGGTCTAGCGGTTTAGCACACCGGCGTACTTCGCGGGTTCGATTTCTCGCATGGCACAAAGATTTGTATTCATGAGTACGATTGTTTGTATTGATCTGGGTGTTTTCTATGTATAATATGTATGTATATATATATATATATATATATATATATATATATATATATATATGTATTTTTATCAGTTATCTGGTACCCATAACACTAGTTATTTTAACTTGGCTCTAGATGGTGCTGTGTGAATTGTTCAGAGATTTTTATTATTAATGAAATATAATAATTGAGGTGGATACGTAAATTATAACGTTGAAATGAAATCTGGTTGAAATGCTAAGAAATAGGACCTTAAGGAAATATGAAAATAATAATGATGCGTGTTCAGACGACGAAAAAATCGATTCAATCGTGTTATTAAGGATAACTAAAAAACCACTGATTTCTGAACACAAAAAAAACACTAGCATGCAAATAAAAAAAACCTTAAAAAAATTGTTCAAGTAAATTGAGATTCTCCTTTTATGAAGTAGTTTGTAAAACACTCTGTATTTGTAATTATGTTTGTTTTGTAGGAAAATACAATAATTACAAGCATTGATTACGAAAAGTTTTGTTTGTATTTTAGTCGTACATAATTATTTTTTTAATAGGAAATTCTGTTTGTAAACAACTTTTTAAGTATGGTTCTTCTTTACTAATTATTTCTTGACAAACGTATACGTGAGTACACGCGGTTTCTTTTATATTATACCTACTTTTATATGTATTTTATTTATATTTTTTATTCATACACTTTATTGCACAAAATAAGGAAGAATATTAATTTATATAAAAATATATACATACAATCATAAGTACAAGTAAAAGGCGGTCTTATCGCTAAGCAATCTCTTACATACTGAACAAGTATCAATCATGTTCAGTCAACATTAGCTTGAGCCGAGGTTCGAATCCATAGCCCTCACACTAAAGTCGTATCATTCAGGCGAAATTTGACTTCCCGCCACTCCATAAGTTCTTCCTTTGGTTTGGAGTACCGTCTGCACTCTCTCTCAATCGTCCGGTGAAGCTGTAAAGGCCAGCTGCGACCAAGAACATAAGAGTAGTCCGAAAATAAAACATTATTTTCCTATACATGCAAATATTATTAAGATTTTTTTTTATACTAATATGTGTATTTGATTTTAGTAAGATTTTCTATAGTTTCATGTTCATCGGAGAGAATTATAAATTAATACACATTTTTTTTTTTGTGTTGACCCGAATCAAACACACGGCCTTTGGAGCCTAGGAGTCAGGGTAGTAAACCACTGTATCACGCTTTCAAATAAGAATATTTATAAAGAAGGTATACATTACTTGCTGACCCGTGGAACTTCGTCTGTGTTTCATTTCTCCACTTTTAGGAATATTTTTCATTGCAGCTCCTATTGTATCCTCGGTCCTACTATATCCTATTAGTCGCAGTATAATATTATATAGCTTAAAGCCTTCCTCGACAAATGGACTATCCAACACTATTTTTTTTTAATTCGAACCAGTAGTTCCTTAGATTAGCGTTCAAACAAACAGCTTAATATTAGCATAGATAACATAATAGTAGTATAGCTTAATCTATTAAATTTTCCGTCGGATATTCGGATGTAATACCTAGTAGACACAACAACAATGCATTATAAAACGCAGACAAAATAAAACAATACAATTTTCTGAATTTTTATTAGTGTATTGGTGCACTACTTGTGATTGGAAAACAAAGTTCTTGCCGCTTTCTGTCACGCTTAGATCTTTTAAATTATACAACGGATTTTAATGCATTTGTTAGCAATAGATCGAGTCATTGAAAATGAAGGTATCATATGTATATTCATATATAGTATAGAAAAGCTAAGAATTAAAGATTTAAATTATATATATAGATAGTCGATAGTAGATAATAAAGTAATCCCTAACAAATAAAAACAAATCCAAATGATGTTTTTAACCAACTCAACAACAACAGTATTGTTTTTTTTTATTAAAGTACGCCTCCGTAATGACTTATCGTATTTCGATTATTTTTGTTGCCAATAAAAATATAATGGATGCAAAAATAATTCTCTGTGTGTCCTCCTATTATATTCTCATCTTATCTGTGCTATTTCTACAATCGTCTAGAATAATGAATAATATATTTTAAGTGACTAAAATTGTATTATTGTACATGTAAAACTGTTCTAGATAATTTAAAATAAATTATTGTTAAATATGTTTGTAACTCCATAACTCAAACTTTTTAAGGATAAAATGTTTTTAGTAAACAGAAGTAGGACCAAGCGTTGCTTAAAATCTGCAACAAAATAATGTAATTAATTATTACATTACACTACTATTAATAGTAATAATAAATAATCCTGGACAAAATACACAGCGCCATCTAGTCCCAAGTAGCTTGTGTTATAGGTACTAGAAAACAGAGTACTTGTACTTAGATATTTTGTAACTACATGGGTAATATATGTACATAGACAACAGTCAGACCGATACAAACGCTAGACCACCGAGGTCGTCATCCATCAGTATTACATTAAAGACTGGTGAATTAGGAAATAAGGACTTACTCTCATGAACACATTCAGGTCGATGTCGGTGAAACCGAATGCAGTTAATTTGCACGGCTTTTGAGACCTAAAAACATCCATAAATTAAAATCATTGAAAGGATAATTGAATCTAATTTGATACAAAATATCTGATATAATCTATTTCTAAATTAATATAGAATCTTTGAACTAGTGTGGGATAATAAATAGACATCACTGATAATAATAATTTTACCGTCGATTTCTACATATAGGTACTAAAAACATTACAAATTGTAAAATATTCCGATAGAATTTTATTACAATAAAGACTTGAGAATAAATGAATAATAGTGATATAAACAGAGAGAGAGAGAGTGAATGTTGTTATCATGAAAGTTAACTCCGAAACAACCGTACCGCTTTGAGACATTCTTTCACTGTTTGAAGGTACATTATTCTGGAGTGACATAGGCTATATACATTTTAAAAGCACCGAGTGAAACTGCGGCGTGCCACTAGTAAATAATACAACAGATACCTCATCATCACCAGTATCAGATGTCTTCCAATCGCAGCATCCATCATATACCATTTACTGTTGTATACGCCATCAGCTATTCCTACGCTCTGAAATAATAATATGTTGTCATATGATTAACACTTAAAAAAAACATAACTTAAAAAAAAATGTATAAAATACATTATTGACTTAAGATGACTTAAGTTATATTCATAGTATATAAAGTAATTAATTTATATTCAGATATACACATTGAGTATGTAAGAAGAACGTTTTGGAAATTAGATAATCTGAATAATATGTATGGAAATCTCTTTCGGTTTTGTGTTATGAATCTCAGCCATTTGTATAGTGTACCCACAAATTCGTGTGGTGTTATATCAAGGTAGTCATCGAGTGTTATTTGAAAGCGTAAGTATAAAAAATGTATTCGTTTTAGGAACCTCCCTAATATTTTCTTACATATACCTATACGATATGACAACAAATATTAAATTCAATTTAGAGAATTTAAATATAATATGTATATTACCGAGTCCGAAATGATGTTACCAAAGTAGCATAAAAAGTATATTTGAAGATATGTCACACATAGGAAAACAAAAAATGACAACACTAAAGCAGTGTCTTTGATAATCTGTAAAAGAAAACAAATAACATGTTACGTTTCTAGAATAACTACTACAATTAATTATAAACAGATTAAATATTGTAACTAAAAGTGGCTAGCTATATTTTACTTAGGCATATCCTATAGTGTAATAATTTGTAATTTGGATGAATAATAAATAAATTGTTTATACATAAAGAATTATTAAACAAAAATGACTGACCGTAGCGTTAAACAACGTCAAACATATCATTAAAGAACTCGCGGAAATATTGTACAATGTTGCTTTGGTAAAAATATATTCCAACATATCAACTGCCCTGAAAGAAATAAGAAAATTATCTTAAACATACACAATGAATGTACTTATTGATACATATTTCTACAAATGTAATGTTTTTCTTGTATTTTAAAACAAACTCACGAAAATTATCGCGGCCGCAAAACCCCAAGGTGGAATCACCTTCCAACAATGGTATTTCCGAACCGATACTATATTAAAATCTTCAAGAAAAGAGCTTATTCCTTTTTAAAAGGCTAACAACTTACTTGCAATTCCCCTGGTGTTGCGGGTGCTCATGGGCGGCGGTGATCACTTACCATCAGGTGAGCCGCATGCTTTCGTATATATTAACATGTATAAAATAAAAAAAAGCATGTGATTATTGTACAAATGGCAATGCACCAATCACTTAAAATTTGTGAAACATTACCTACAATATTATTCATAAGTATTATATTACATACATATATAAACTGAAACAAATATATGTATATAAAATATATAGTTATTACTTAATTAATTTCTGATGCCACGTAACCAATTCTTTAAACTTGGCTGGAAATTCTGCTGGAGTAATTACATCATCTGTATTTTGAGATATGCTGTTCGAAGGCGTGAACAACAGTTCAAATTTCGTCTTCAGTATATTGAACTGTAGCTTAATGTAAGTACAAGTGGTGTATAAGAAGTAATCCATTGTAGACACAAATAAACATACTACCACAGCTGGAAAAATAATATAAAATGAGATATTAATTTATTAGAATTAATTGAAAGTAATTCACACATAGAGTAAATTATTCCATTTTCTGCAATCTCTTTATAGCTATATCTAACAAAGCACTGTATTTTTTATATGCTTTTTTATTTTTATATAATCTAGTCAGCGTTATAAAAAACAAAGTTCATTACGTGATATTGTATTCTTAATGTATTTAAATGTAATTAAATGCAAAGTACTCACACGACCAAACTTGATGTCCGTATACTATCGGATATACTTTGACATTATACGGATTGAAAGGATATAGAACTGGGAACGGTATCAGTAACTCTACTTCCCCTGTTTCATAGTATTTCAAAATAACCACTGTCATTGGAGCTATAGCGAATACAAACACCAAAAGAAAGTACATCACATTATAAATTTTTATAACGCGGTTTAAAAGAATTCGATCGTCGTCAATAGACTTATGATCAATAACATCTCTTTCGCCCACTCGTGCTTCTAATTTTTTAATTAATTGAATTAATTCCTGTACAACCTTTTCGTGTACCATGAAGTAAATGACTTTAATATTTGCTAAATGAGTATAAATTACACATGGGACTAAATAAGATACTTGTGCAATCTCTGACCCATCTGCTGCTACGAAAGCACTGAATGAACAACCTGAGTTTATGTTGAGGGAGAGGAAATTAAAAATGAAGGTGATACGTCTTGTGAACGCATGTTTTCTATCGTACAAATTCAAGCCTGCATATTTATAAAACGGCTCTAGAGATTTTAAAGTGTTACTGAACAATTTGATATTTACTGACATTTTAGGGACGTACGATAGTGTTAGAATCACGATACGATATAGGTATTGTGGTAGGTAGAGGCTTTATGAATGTTTTTAATTATTTTGCATGTAAGTAGCAATCTACAATGCATGGGAAGTGGCTATCGATGCATTGCATTATGCATTTTAAATATATATGATTATACGACGCCATAGAATAATTATATATTACTGACAAAAGGCGAGGTGTTATTTGCAATTAGTTTTGTCCTTCAGACCAAAGGCATGCAGTGTGTCACAGTTTTTCACACCACTTAAATTGTATGTATGGAAGTTTTTTTGTGTATATATATCGCATGATGGTTATATACTCTCTATTGTCCTTGGGAAATTAGGTGATTGCTCTTTCACGCAAAGCCTATTGGATGTTCATGAACCTTTATAAGACAATAGACTTAGACATCGATAACCGATTGATTTGTTTAAAAAAGTAACCAGCAAGTATCATTCTTCTTTCAGGCATTTTGTCATTCTTTTTGTGCTGAATATTGTATCCCGAAAGACGAGTAGAATGAAAAAAAATCCCATTAAGTTTATTTGATTTTTTTTATTCAAAGACAACGTGTAAATCAAAACTGTTTAATCAAATAGGACAATTTCTGATACCTTTGCTTTTCAATTTTTAACACTATCTCTACTCTCTATCAATTTCTTAACTGAATAAAATGTAAATACAAATGTAGACGAAACCATGGACGGCAACCTATATTAAATAAATATAAGTGTTACATGATATTTAAAGTTTAATACAGAATAATTGTTTCATAAATAATAATAACCCTTCCAGTTAATTATGTAGATACTTGCACTGTAATCAGCACATGTCTACAATTATAATTGCTTTATAATATAATACTATTTCTTAATCATTCTTGATATTTTAAAGGGAAAGAAATTATTTATTTCCCTTTAAATTATCAGCATTAAATTTTACATAGTTCGGTTGTCTAAAAAGTTTAATGTATGAACGTGTAATGCTGTTGTTTGATAAATTGATAAGGAAAATTTAAGTTTTATTTAAATTACCTAACTTAATTATTTCATATTTTTTTATGAAATAATCATCATATCTTAAGGGGCTTAATTAAGTAATGATGCTATACAATTCACAATCACACCTTATTTTTTTATATCCTAATGTGTGTAATACTGGGTAAAGGGCTCCCCTCTCACTAATTGACAATACAATTAGTAAATAAATATTCAATAATCATAGAAGTTCCTATATTACTTTATTCATCACAACAATAAAGATACCTATATTATTGTTTGCGAGAGGAAAACCAATATAGATGTACTTTTATATTATTTGTTCCATACAGGTTTCGTGTGATCATTTTGGTGGTGAACTTAATATAAGACTACATTGGCGCGAAACCTTCGCAGGTAGCTAAATTCTCGTAGACGTGTCTCGCCTTCACAAAAAAGGTCGATAATTCTGAGAATTCCACTGCTAACCTTTGTAAGAACCTTTTTTGTGGCTCTATGGTCTGTCAACTTTTTGTGCGTTCCATTTTCAAAACTATAATTCGGATTTCTACCAAATAACTTTAAATTACGTACCTACTACAGACAGAACACTTATACGCGGAATATTTTTATTCTAAAATGGCTAGGTAGAGAAGATCCCTTTAACGGCAAAACGTCGAATGGATTTATACCATAGGGAATATTGAATGAATTATTGTATAAAAACTGCAGTAAGTAGGTATTTAATCTTGGTATTGTTAGTTTATGTGGTTATTGTATCTTTACAACTGAATTCCGGGTATGTTTCTGGTTTTACAACAAGTATTTTTTTTTTATACGGAATATTAAACACAGATGTGTTTCGTGATTCAGTGAGTGATCACAGAATCATCAAGCATTTATTTCTAGCAATGCTGTCAGATCTACCTACTATTACTCTATCTATTTACCTATATAATCTGTCTCTAAATATATTTAAGTAGGTATAATAGTATGAATGCCTACCTACAAAAATATAACTGTCAAGTTATTCTACTTGTAAAAACTAAAATTTTCCTAGAAAAGTACAAAACAATTTTAAGTATCTGCAATAAAAAGGACAATACTAAAATAAACGACCCGCTTTGATTGATTGATTGATAAACAAAAGATCTTGACAGCCTCCGTGGATTACTGTTTTAGGACACTGCTTTACTTTCAATGGTCGCGGGTTCGTATTCTCGATGCACGATGCAAATATTTGTATTCATGAGTATTATCATATATTATTATACTGTACTATTATCTAAATATATAGGTATAACTCAAAGGTGACTGACATAGTGATCCAACAACAAGCAGCCTAAACCACTGGATGGATCGGGCTAAAATTTGGCATGCAGGTTATGACGTAGGCATCCGCTAAGAAAGGATTTTCATACATTCTACCCCCAAGGGGATAAAATAGAGGATGAAACTTTGTATGAAACTTTGTCAATTTTAAACCGATCGGGCTGAGACTTTGCATGCATAAAGCTACTATGACGTAGGCATCCTCTAAGAAAGGATTTTGATAAATTTCACCCCTAAGGCATAAATTAACGCGAGCGAAGCAGCGGGCAAAAGCTAGTTAGTACATATATCTCTACGTAATTATTCTATTGATATTGATTGAAAATAGTATATGGCGAAATTGAAAAGATTATCAAAAATAATTATTTGACGACTTCGGTGGATATTTTTATCAGCTTTCTTTGGCGTAGGTGGAATATGTATTCTATAGTCATCCTGATATCATATAATGAAAGTAATCTCTTGTACTTACTATAAATATAATATATAAATATGATGATAATGAGGTGGTTAATTCAACTTTCTTTATTACTAATCTTATAAGTACTTATAAACGTTTAAATTATGTATGTAGGCGCAACATAGTGGCAGAATCAAGTTTTGTCAACAGATATAATTACTGATTCGTGCCGCCTACTTGACCGGTTTTCCCTCATACCTAATATATAGAAAACCCATAGATACAGATTAGAATAGACGTTGCAATAGACATCTATTTTTTTTGTTTGGACTCTAACAAAGAAAAATCCATATTAAAATATTTTTATAATTTGGACTTTTAGGACACTGGTTTTTATGGAATTTTAGATTTAATTGTCAATATAATTAATATTACAGTTTTAATAAAATTATCATAGCAACGAAATTCGATTAATCGATATTTCAAATTCCGCTTCCAAAGCCCGTTTCGACATGAACAAAAACAGCAAAAGATTTTTCTTTGTATCTATGTTTTGTTTGCTTAAAACAATATTTATAATCAATAGTACATATTAAACTGCCGAGAGGAAAATATTAAAACCCTTAAATACCCTTAAACATACACCCGGGATTGAAACTCCGAGTTTCCCTCTCTGTCACACTATGGACCCGGCACCCGCTATTTCGCTCCTAGTCGCCTCTTATGATATCCTGGTGAAAATTAGTTATTTTTACACTGTTACCACACGAAACAAAAATGTTCATTAAACCGGGAAAGGGGGTGTAATAACACACAGTACTCTTGGAAGCCATCGTGCATATTTCCAGATGAATTTGGGTTAACTGACTTAACCTAATCTTCACATCATCCTCCACTGGTGACCCGATCAGCAAGTAACCGTTAGCGCAGGCAGGTGCACCATTCCATTATACGAAAGGAGACTTGCAGCTTCCAAGTTGTCTTACGGTTGCAGATTAGGCAGTGACATTACAGAATAAAAGTCTTTTAGTCTAAGTCCACAGAAAGGGCATTACATGACAGTTATGAGTGATAACGTGATGTGTTCATGTGAATTGGTGACGGTTGCTACTTTCCATCAGGTGGACTATATATATATCGTTTGATTTGTTCGTCGATGCCATTTTTTACTTGGGAAAATGCGTCATGGAGACCCGCCCCCTCCAGGGATAATCTGTATCTAAAGCGTAGCGATTTCTATTTTCAAATATGTCTTAGAAAATTACTGAGCCTCGTGACTACGACAACATCGTTGCATTTATTAGTAGAAACCATAGACTATAAAATATTTTTTTATGTAAATCAAATAGGCGTATTAATATGCAGATTGTTACGGATCACACAACTGTTATGAGCAAACAGTAAATATGTTAATATGTGGTCGCCATTCATTTTCTTTTTATATTTAGAACTTAGTACTACGAGCTATTACAGAAAAAATAAGTACTTTATTATTTATATTATTATGGGGTAAATATTACACTTGGCATTGGCCTTATGAAAGTAGAGTCGACGAGTTGTATTTTATAAAAAAAGTAGATAAATCTATTAGACTCTGGTTTTGCGCTAGGGCATGACTTGTTTGAAATAAAATAATAACACAAAGTAAATAACCAAGTACGAAGTCATAACTTTGCGATAAAGAACTAGGCAGCAATAGGTAGGTACCTATATAATCCATATTCTAATGTGTCTATCAAATAGAAAAAAATGCTTGAAAATAATTTATTTCATACATATATTTATTCTGTAAGAAGTAATAATTAGAGTCTTTGAGAATTTATTAAATAAACTGTTTTATAGAATTAGTTATTTCATTCAAAGTATGCATCCGTTGCATTACAAGCAAATGAAAATTGCATTTCCGCGCGAAACACTTTCTGACGCCATCTGTAGGAACTTACATACAGATAAAACAGCACATCGCTCTTGGCAACCTTGCACTGTTTTACCGACGCAACATCGCCGATCTGTCATGGCGTTTTGAAGTGTGTACGTTTCTGTGCACTAAACATAAATAATGATTCTCAGACAGTTTATTATAAATAAATACACTAAAAACTGTTTCGGTTACTGTAAAGTATCATGATTGTTGTGTGTTAGCAATATTTAGTCGCGAGTGTGCGCTAAAATGGACAAGAAAAATGCAATTCGAAGAGCCAAAAGGCCTTCCAAAGTGCTTGAAGAAAATTATTGGGATTGCAGCGTCTGTACGTACAGAAATAATGCAGAAGCATTTAAATGTTCGATGTGCGACGTCAGAAAAGGTAATTCAGTACATAAATTAGTTCTACATGCGTTCCTTTGTATCGAAACTCGAGTGTGAATGCCCTCTAGTATGGATCGATTTTTAGTCCCAAGTACATGCCTAATACTCGAATTAGTTTTCCCTGAAAAGAGCCACGCAAGTAGATAAATCGACATTCTTTGTATTTTGCGAATTCTTGTTCCAATTCCACATAAAATCAAATATTTCGTATACACCTGAGATGACTAAAAAAAAACTATAGTTACTTTTTAATGAAAATTATCTAATTATATCAAATTGACCGATTGTGTACTTTACATTGTTTTGTATTTTGATTGATGACATGAATGTATATTCATGTTATTATCCACTAATTGAATTCCCATAATAATTTGCATTTGAGACCTATATAATTGAAACAACAATTCTAATGTTCTAATCCTATATTTACTATAATGAATGTAAAAATTATTTAAATTAAGAACAATAATTTAAAAAAATACTGAACAATTATATTTTTCTTTAGTAGAGAGACGGTTAGTATTTACTTTTATTTTTAGTATGTATATACATTACCTATGTCGCCTGTGGTATTCTTATTAATCTTGAATTTAAAATATAATTAAACTTTACTCACTTTTATTATTTATATTAAAGATATCTATTAGTGCAATTCTAAAAATGTTATCCGCAGTGAACAACAACGGTTGAAAATGAACTTTAGAAGTAGCTAATGGTATTTACACAGATTCAAATTAAAAAACATTAAGTACCTGTAGGTTTTAATTACATGTTTATAATCTGTTTTGAATTCCCAAATTATTATAATTAAACCATAGTTTAAATATGAATTTTTATTCGAACTGTATGCTAAATCTTATCCATACCAATACTATAATTGTCTGTCTGTTTGTTCCTTTTCATGACGAAACATCTCTATACAGTTATTTAGTCATGAATAGGTTAATTATCACTTTGTTTTCTTTTTTTGATAACAAGATAGCATATGATATAATGCATTCTCAGTTTCATTAAAACCTCAAAAGGGTGAGACCACAATAGATCTATGTAGGTTGCAGTGCTACAGGTCCAAGCACCTGAAAATAGACAAAACCTCCAAAAAAAAAAAAAGATCTTAAAAATTTAACTGTGAGTGAAGGACTGTATTTATATTAAGCTGCTAAATGTAATTATGAAATTAAAAGTAATGCAAGATAACAGAAGAATATGAATAGTGACAATGTTATTTTTCTATATAAAACAATAGACAATAGCAAGCCTAAACAATATATGAAAGGGGGATTCATGCACAGTCACAAACAGACAGACACATTGATTAATATTGGAGTATGGATATGGTAAAGTACTCGATTTAAATAACCTTTTGTTAATTACACTCTTATAAAGTGTATAAAGACTCCTTTTATTAGAACTACAATAAGCTAATGCCATTTAATTTCTCATTAAAAACTACTTGCATTTTTTAGATATTGCCATATGAACTGTTATTCAATTTTCACTTCTATGCCGTTGACTGTAGGTGTACAAAATCTGATAAGTATTTATGTTTATTTATCTATGCTAATAGTTCAGCAGTCTGCCACCGTTACCCATAGGCGTTGCAGTCGCGTATTACCCGACCAAATAAGAAAGACGTCGCTTACATTATAACGCGTTGTTTGTTTGAACATTCATATTTAGTGGGTTAGTACCCATTGACCTTTGTGACGTCATGTACACAAGTACAGTTGCTCGTAGTAATCTTGTGCATACTAACTAAATCTTATAGTTTAGGTGTGTGTATACATGCATAAAAGTAGGTACAGTCGGCTTCAAAAATATATTCGATAAAGATCCGTCGAATTTAGTAATTTAGTATAACAGTCAATGTTTTTTTATTTATTTAACGACCTACAATGCACAGAGTCACACTCAGGCACAGTTCAAAATATACTACAGTACATTTGGCGACTTAACACCATGCGGAATTTGCTACCATAGGGGGTGCAGAGAATAATTATTGGCGGTGCAAATATAATTAATGATAAACAAAATATAAACAGGACGATAAATACAATATATACCTAAGAGATTGACCAATATATTACATAAATATATTTAAATATTACAAAATGTTCTTACCTTGCTGTATTTAATGTAGAATTTTATTAACATTATACAACATACATTATAACAAATCACACAGCATTAAACTAAACAAATATATAATCATCTGAGGACAATTCACACAGCGCCATCTAGACCCAAGTTAACCTAGCTAAAGCTTGTGTTATAGGTTCTAGACGACGACGAGGTTTTTTTCGTAAATTCATACATATTATACATAGAAAATACCGATACAAACAATCATGAATACAAATGTTTGTACCGTGCGAGGAATCGAACCCGCGACTATCAGAAGTAATGCGGTGTGCTAAACCGCTAGACTATCGAAGCCATCATATATGAAATTACGGTGTTCCCGCCTGAGCTAAGGATATCCGCTGGGGAGGTACCAGTCAAGGATGAAATTGGTTAACCCGTGCGAATTTACCAGAAATCAACTATAATAGTTTCTAGAGGGGACCGTGTGAAGGTCAACATGACATGGTATACTAATAATAATTCCCAGGACAATTCACACAGCGGCATCTAGTCCCAAGATAAGCAAAGCTTGTGTTATGGGTATTAGACAACTGATATAAATACTTATATTTTTTTATGTAAATAGATACATAATATACATAGAAAACACCCAGACCGATACAAACGATCGTACTCATGAATACAAATGTTTGCACCGGCCGAGGAATCGAACTCGCGACCATCGGAGGTAAGGCGGTATGCTAAACCGCTAGACCACCGAGGCCAGCATCATTATCAGTAATGAGGCCTCCTATTATTAAAATGAAAATCACATCCCCCTATCGATGTAAATGAAGCGAACTGTACATGGTGCTCTAGTTGCATCTAATTATCATAACTAATGATTTCATGGTTAGACACGGGATAGGCCATGTACTATACTAAAATGCAGCGACCTACCTGTGCTTCTCAATATATGTATATATATACTCAAATATTTTATAAAAATCTTTCTAAGAAACAGCCATACTCATAACAGTAATACTACATAACTTAACATAACTAAGTATCGTTTAGAAAAAGCTAATGGATCTCTTATGGGAATGGCTATAAAAATTTACAATAAGACACCGAAGGATATACTTGAATTACCTTTAAATAAATTCAAAACATTTGTTAAATCATATTTATTGAGCAAAAGACTATTATACACTAAACGATTACTTGAGTGACGAACGTGCAGTGCAATAACAGTTCATGCACGGGAATTTCATTTAACGTTAGACATAGACACCTACATTAGTACCTACACAATGTAAATAAGGTTATTGTTAAAAAAAATCTGTTTAGTTTCTTGCCAGTTCTTCTCAATTAAATCTGTATAATAAACTGGACGGTAGGGAAAAAATATTAATACAAAAAAAAATTCTTTCATAAGCTGTTAAAATTTTCTGTTTTTAATATATGATAATGTAATGGTGCATACGCCTGCGCTAACGGTTTACGCTCGCGGGGCACCAATGGAGGATGATAGAATCAGCATATGAGGTCAAGTTAGCCCTTCGTCGCAAATTCATTAGGAATGTACCACGACGGTTTCCAGGGGTCAATAGTCCACATTAGTAACAATTCCCTTTCCCCCTCTATCTATATTATGTATGTATTTACAAAAAAATTGTATGAAACTATTTGTATCAGATGTTTAGCAGTTTCCGTTTTTTCTTTTGCTTTATTTTAATGTCTATAAAAAAGAACGGAGTAAACACCGGAAACGATCCAATCGTTTCCTCTGAAATGTGATGATATATAGCCTTCAGTTTACATTTTACATTGTCGTGACTTATCACGCTTTGTGACGTCAGGTAAACCCGCAGCCTACGAATTGCTGAATTATCGAAACCGCTTAGCTAGATTAGTCATATTTTAAGACTACAACGCCAGAACCCAGTGGTCTACAACCCAGATAGACACCTGAAAGTCGTGAGTTCGAATCAAGCAAACACAAAAAAAAACTTTGTGATAATTTAGATTTCTGACTGACTCTCCTGTTAAATAAACACCGTTAATAAATCAAAATGAATTCGACACAGAATCGTCCTTACCACATTACGAGGGTCATTTACATATTGTCGTGGTTTATCATGAGCAGTGACGTCAGTTAAAGCCACAACCTACGAATTGCTGAATTAACAAACCCGCCTAGCTAGATGATTCATATTTTAATACTAGCTGTGACCTCGACTTCGTCCGTGTAAAATGATGATACTTCTATATTACCTTTCTTCTCCCCTTTCAACGCCTTACAACCCTTTTTTCACATTAAAAATAGCCTATATCCTTTCTTAGGATGTGGACTATCTGTGTACCAAACATTTAATTCGGTTCAGTGGTTTCGGCGCGAAAGCGAGACAAACAGCAGTTACTTTCGCATTTATAATATTACTAAGGATTAGCAACAAAACCGACCAAACCTGTTTGACAACTATTTATTCTTATGTACTGTACCAATGGTCGCTATGGAAACACATAGTTTGCTCGACTCTGCACTTTATACTGTCACAGTTTAGGATTATAGGAAGGAAGGGATTACTAATAATGGGGAATAGCAACCACATTGCTACCAATGTACCATGTCAGGATGGCCTCCATGGGATTCCCCTTGGAAACTGTCGTGTTAAATTCATGGTCATCTTATCATCCTCGACTGGTGCCCTGCCAGCGAATACGTAAGCGCAGGCGAATAAACCATTTCATTGTGATGCCTTAAAAAAAAAACCTGTTAGACACAATTCCATCATACTTTGTTTTAAGGGATTATAATGGAATGGTACACCATCCTGCGCTAAAACAAAAATATCTCAGTATTTATATCAATTGTCTACCCTAGTACCCATAACATAACAGAAACTGCTTACCGTGGGACTAGATGGCGCTGCGTTCAGGAATATTTATGTGTTATTTATAAGTATACTAGATTAATTTTAAGACTTAGGGTATGTCTACAAGTCTACCAAAACATAGCACCCTTTCCCAAGAGCCGACGGCGCCATGTTGTTACACATGTTTACAACCAGCTAATCCGTAAATTTTGTACACGTAAAACCGATTTGAGTAAAACTTACACATAATTATGTGAGGCTTACAATGATATATTAGTGAAAACCACATACAAATCGGTTAAGCCGTTTTTAATACTTAATATTTTTTTTATTAAATTTATATTTCTGGACATTTCATATAGCGCCATATAGTCTTATTTTATGTTTACTAGATATAAATAAGCACATAGTTTTTTTTTTACTTTTGATAATTTTTTTGTAAATACATAAATATTACATAGAAAACACCCAGAGCGATACAAACAATCAAACTCTCGAATACAACTGTTTGAACCGTGCGCGGAATCGAATCCGCAACAATCAGAATTAAGGCAGTGTGCTCAAAGTGGCTGTGTCATGGCGTCGATGTGTGTATGGATATTAAAGATAATAATATCTATAGTTATTAAAACAGGATATTTCCAGATATTTGTTTTTACAAAAATACAGTAGCTTTTCCCAGATGTTGATTATCTCTCGTCATTACAGTTTCCTGAAGGGATAGAAAGATATCCAATGCCAAAGGTTCCGTTATTTGACAACAATTATATATTTTTGTGGAATATAACATGATAGTATAGTATTACTATACTATACTATCATGTTATGTTTAGTATGGTTTATTTGCACTAATTATATACACTACCGCGCCACCACTGAAGGATAATGAGATGAGGATAAAATCTGATCAGTTAGTTTATTAACTACGTCTGTTTCTAGCGTGCACCGCGTAGAGGTCGACCTGATATTGGTAAGAATGAGGCTTTTAGTACCCATTCCTAACAATCATCAACACGCAAGTTTCTTGCTCGTATTTGTAGTCAAGACAGCTTTCCGATTAAAAAAATAAGTAATGACTATTCAAAAGTTTTTTGAATAAAGAATCTTCTTTTCTATTCTATTCTTTCCGACATAATCATCTGCTTCTTCTATATCCCATTTATTTGGGGTCGGCGTAATATGTTTATTCCTTCCAACATATATCGACATTATTATGAGTTCTTTTTATACAACTCAAATGGAAAACAAGCAATATATATGTACGCGTGAATCGGCAAACTATTTATAACTCGGTTCGGGTGAATCGCCTAAACACTTATGTGAATCAGAAACACCATTAACTAGCCCTTGGGGGTATATTCTTATTACGTCTATACGTAATAGGGCCGGCCCCTTTCTTGTAATGTCTAAGAGCGTCTGTGGAGGACAAGTGCTCTAATGTATAATTTGTGTCGAACCCAACGCCATCGGCGGACGAAACAGCCTCGCTACAGCTTCAGCAAGGATAATTATGGCTGCGTTCTGACACACTGGTTATTTTAATATGAATAGTCGGAACCGGCGGCTTTCCTTACCTGTTTTTCTTATATGATTAGAATGGCATACAAGCAGTTATGATGGCCTCGGTGTCGGCAAACGGCCTCTAGCGGTCTAGCACACCGCTTTACTTCCAATGGTCGCGGGTTCGATTCCTCGCACGGTGTAAACAGTTCGTATTCATGAGTATGATTGTACACCCAGACCGATACAAATATCAGTCTGGGTGTTTACTATGTATATTATATCTGTATTTAGAAAAGAAAGATATCTAAATATTTATATCAGTTGTCTAGTACCCAACAAGGGTACTAGTCAATAACTGATGGAAATACTTAAATCACAAGCTCTACTTATCGTTAGCTTGAGTTTAAGAAGACGCTCTGTGAATGTTCAGGGTTATTATTATTATTCTAAAAAAATACAGTGTAACCGAGGCTTTCAGTAAATTTTTTGTTCGTACTAAACTCAACCCATATCATGCTTTCAAAGGCGTACAAATAGAGCTATACTCCAAAACAGCGCTTCGGTTCACACCAATAACGATTTCCAGGCTATTTCTAAATCTAACCTTTTATTGGCTAAAGTATTTCGAATCTACCGTTCTATTTTGAACTCTGCCCCTTTTACATAAGCTTTCAAAGTTATTTACCACCGATAAAGCAACTGGGAGGTATATATTCCGATTTTCAAACATCCCAGAGGCAAAACCGTGTTTCGGTCCCCTTGTCTGTATAGTTTCTAAACAGAAATGATGTGTACATTTACCACTGCTTCATAATATAAGCATGTTTATTGGAGTGAAATGTAATAGAAATGAGGATAAGGTAAAACATTTTCAACCTCTTCAGCTTGCTTTGTAAGATGTTTTGCGATTGAAGGATGTGGGCAGAGGTGATAAGACAGAGAAATTACTGGGTATGAAGGCATGGTTATCTAGACTGGTAAGTCTGATATTTTACTGCAGGACTAAAATGTCAGACTTGCCAGCCTAGATAACCATGCTAACAATGCTACTATTTATGTGCTTTACGTAGAAGTAAAAATATAATAAAAATAATTATTAAAAAGCATATAAATTCGCGTTATTGCAATACTGAAACTGACTTGACTTATAGGCTTGACATTATATTATTTAACTAATGCCCCACCAGTGTATACCTAACCACGAAACCCAACACCATTCAATTAAAAAAAAATCTATCCATACACACTTACAAACTTCCGCGTTTATAATATTAGTAAGATAATTTTAGGCGTGTCAAAAATTGGGCAATTTTGCCACATTTTTACTATTATCTACCGTACAGATTTGGTTACCACTGTTGAGAACTGCCAAGAAATTCAAGTAGGACATTCATTTTTATATAATTTATTTTTCAATGGAAATCATCGTATATGTCAATCAAATTAATTAAAACTCATTTTCTGCTACAAGGTACTTCAACACGCAAACCTCGAATCAATCCTGCGCTGGTGGCCGCCCAGGCCGCAGGTACGGCGCCCACTAGTTCGCAGAAGAGGCCACGCTCTGCGAATTCGCTCAAGAAGAAGCGACGGCATCCGCCGCGGCTCAGCAATGTTGATCGCAGCTCAGCGCAAACTAGAGAGGTAACGCCTGATCTCCTTTATATGTCTAGAGCAGTGTTTCCCAACCTTTTAATGTGCCATTCTCGCATTAGCTTTTCTTAAATTCTTATGGCTCCCTATGTAGCATACATAATTTTTATATTAAAAAATTGAATTGTTCACTTAAGAAACTTGTTAATGAAACAGAGTAAGTAAATTTTCAAATATAATGAAAAACTGAAATTTTAATGAAGATTTCTATATTCATTTGCTATTTTAATTTAGTGATAACAATTATTTAAGAATTTTCATTTTTCGATAAATTTTGGCAGCGAAATCTAGCATTGCATTTAAATGGCCTGGAGCGAAAGGGTCAATTTCATGTTGTGTCCATTTTGGAATTGTTCACTAAACAATGAAATGGCGCCCCTGTGGGCGTGGGTATCTCGTTGGGAAAAACTGCAATAGAGTCGTCGCTTAGAGTAGGTCCATTTTTCACGTGATGCTTTTTTATAATTTACGTACACCTAATCACCCCCTTAGTGTTATGTGGTGAAGTTTAAGATTTTTTGATAAATTAGTTATTAAAAAATCACGTGTATTTTCAGTATCTTCCAAGAAGCTAAACATTTTTAGAATATTATCTTTAGACTTTCGGTTTAGAAATCTCGCGTTTGACGAAAAAAATAATTCACGTGATATCTTATTATAGCTCCTTCCGCGGTTGTAATATTTCGTTATTTTTACCGAATCCCTCCCCCCAATTCGAGCCTCACGTGATTAATGGACGGCCCCTTAGTGGTTTACTACTTTGACTTACACCCAAAAGGTCGTGAGTTCAAATCTGGTCGATAAACAAAAATTTATACTTATCACTGATTTGGCTGAGGGAAACACCAACATCAAATCAAAAAATGTATCTGAGAATTAGGCTAACCCTTTGTCTCATTAGATTCAAATATACTGAACGAATGAGAGAATGTCAAGTGTAGCGTTCACCACGAGGTTGACAGTACCTCTGACTACCCCATCTGGTATAGCAATCGTGATGATATGACGGCATATGTGATGGTAAGTGATTACCGCTGCCCATTCACCTAGAACAACAGAGGAAATGCTAAAGATGGTAGAATGGTCAACAGGTGTAAAGCAGGTCAGGCCTTTTAAAAAGCATTATGCTTGTTTTAAAATTCAAGGCGTAGGTTTTAAGGCGCTCCGTTCTCAGTACTTCCCAGTGATGAGACGTCCATACTTGGTGAATGATCCATTGTAACTGGCAGCCTTTGAAATAAAAAAATATTAAAAAGTTTGCGGCCGAAATAGGACAAGGTACCCATGCAAACGATTTTGTACAGTCTACCTAGATAATATGTGTAAGTATATATATTTTTCTATTCAACCAGGTAACTGTAAGCGGTGTTACAGTAGTTATAACCGAATACAAACCGAAGAAGTCCGTCTCTAGCAGTTCCAGCGACGTGGAATCCTCAAATGACGCCCGACCATGATCCATGACAGTCCAGTGGTCACAATGCGTTGATGAAAGCTCAACTCCAAAATAGCATACTATAAGGTCTTAAATTGCTAAATACTAATGGTACGATATGAAGTTTTTGATTTTTTTTACATATATTTGAGTTTCACTGTAATGGTAAACGTGATTGATTATATACTATATGTAAAAGGTGAATTTGTATGATTTTTTTAAGATAAATATAGAATATTTCTATATTCGTTCTAGTAATACAATCTGTCAGCTAGTCTTACTATCTTACTAATATTATAAACACGAAAGTTTGTGGGTATGGATGGAATTTAGTTATTTTTTCACGCGAAAACTACTGAACGGGTTGTGATGAAACTTTACAGCAATATAGCTTATACATCAGAATAACATATAGCTTACAATTTAAAAAGATATTACGTAAATTGGTCGAAATATAATGATAAATGTCAAGTAAGTGTAATGCAGACGAAATAGCGCGGATCAGCTAGTTAATAATAATTTAATGTTTTATTCAAAATGGTATAAATACATATTTCATTTTTCAGAAATATTTACTCATCTTCGTTTACTTTGACAACACTGTGTTAGCTGAGTATATTACTGTTGAGTTCCATTAATAAATAGTCAACCAAACAGTGTATACTTTATTTCAGAGGTGTCACACTCAGTATTGCAGAGGACTCTATATGAAATATAGGACCCTCTACAAAATTGAGAATTTAGAGAAATTAGAAAGTGTAGATGGACCAGATTCAAATAAAAAAACAACACTGAATTCTTATAACATTTTAGTTATTTTATTATATAGTATATGAGGTTGTTAAATATGTGTGTATGCGTGCGCGGGCCTTGTTGATACAGCCCTGGGGCCGCATGCAGTCCGCGGGCCGTAGGTTTGACATGGCTGCTTTATACCATATTTATACGTCAATCAATCTTGCATAAGCCCGAAATACTCGTTCGAACGAGTTATTTTGATACAAACTGTTAGATCGCAACTATTTCCGGAATATTATTTGTAAGTTACTAATAATAAACATTATTAGTCATGAAAATGTAACACAGAGACGCTCTCGATTTTTTTAATGCTACTCGGTGGTCTAGCCGTTTAAACATCACTACTTCCGATAGTCGCGGGTTTGATTACTGGCAGGGCACAAACATTTATATTCATAAGTATGATAGTTCGTTATTACCATATGGTACGTTTACATTATATTGAAACTCGAATTATTATTACCTAGTACAATACTGGATTAGCTCAAAATTAAAGAAATTTGGAAAATTCACTCTAAATTTTTAACTTTAAATGGTTATTAAAAAAGAAATTGAGTTAATCCCCTTTTTATAATTGGTGTACGATATATAGGTTAAGTCGTAAAGGGCAAGCTTAAAGTCTTATAATATTCATGATTGTGAACTGTAAAATACCTAAGAGACTTTTTATACTACGTTGTTGGCAAACAGGCGTACGGCCCATCATCAACACCAGGGGTGTCACGTCCGCTTTGGCGACCCTTAAGTAACCTTAATATACTAAAACTCCCTGATGTAAATTGACTTGGAAATAATATTAGAAAATAATTATTACAGTATAAATGAGTTTCTGGAAAGTGAAGTTAACTGAAACTAAACCTAAATATAATAATTGCAATATTTATTGATAATGTAAGAATTATGTAGTTAGGATACTATACGATGAATAACATCAGACAGTGTAACATGTTTCCAAATAATAACTTCCTAATTTGACTTGAAAAAAAAATTCCACACAAGCAAAGTGGAAAATTGATAATAGTTTTTACCGTCAACGTATTAAAAATTATTTTCAAGTAAAATGTGACCAAAGTCAGTAAAAATAATTGATTCGTTTTGGACGAGTTTTGTCTCTTATGAATATCTTTTTATTTTGTCTATCTGTACCGTCCTCTTTGACTAGTTACTTTAGTTGAACCAAAAATAACAGAACTAAAAAGAAACTCAATTGTATTTTTTATTTCCAGTTGTTTTGTTTTAATCTTTTAGTCATACTAAAAGATTATACTACTAGATAGAAGTCTTTTGTGTATTCTACAAGAATTGCGGTTTGGCAGACCCTATACGACTAACCTTGTATGTCATTTTTTTCATTAAACATCTCGAAATCTAATGTTACTATAATAATATTGGCTATTTATCTATTTAGGATAGAAATAAAATAAGCTTTAAGATCTAGGTTAGTAATACACAATTTTCCTATCATTTGACTGTATTCTTAAGCGTAACTTATGAATTTTCTACATAACAATATTTTATTAATATAAAAGTCAAATAGACCTATTTTAATTATCAAGGATTTCTGTCTTTTTCTTTCGAACTAGTTTCTAGATTTGATAGAGAGTGACAGCACTGTTTATGGGTTTGTAGTTTTTAATTTTATGAGTAAGGGATTTAGTGTTGTATAGTCTAATTGTCTTCATTTGAGTTTGATTTTGTGTACTACTTATCTAATTATACTGTTGCTTATTGTGTACTTGTAATTATAACTTATTCTAAATTATTGTAATTTATCTTATATGTAAATTGTATTTTATAAAAATGGAATAGTAAAATATGGAATTGTATATAAAAAAGTAAAAGTCCAGCTGGTCACTGCCAAAATGCTTGTATGTACATAAAAAGGATGATTTGGCGGTACGGCGTAGTGTTAAATTAAAAAAATGTTCTAATTGCGGAGTTAAGGAAAGTTGTCATTCAGCTGTCAGTTTCTGACAGTTCGAGTGAATGACACAAAACTAGGTGTTATGTAATAATATTCTAAAATCGAATTAACCTTTTTTTTATTTTTGACATTGCACTAGGCATAATATTAGACACTATTCATATTTTTTTAATACTCACATGCTTTAAATGATAAGAATGAAGGTTTGTGTTAATTAAAAAAAAGTAATAATATTTTGCTTAAATGTCAAAAAATATTATAATGTAAATGCTCATTTTTAACAATAGCTAAGAATTGTTTAAATAATAAGTATTGCGTTCTTCATCAAGGTATTTTATGTATCCTATTAAGTAATATATGTTCCGTCATACAAATGAATCATCTCTAATTATTATTAAACAGTTTTGAATTTCAAAAGAAACGAAGTCTTAAAAAAAAATATTTTTTATTAATCATCATCACATTTAAATCGATTTTAGAATGTTCCTAAATTTATATATATATATATATATCGTAGTTATGTATATATATATACAAATTATTATATACGGTAGGTTATACAATGAGTATAAGGATATATTCAATGTCACTTGATAAGCTTTATTTCTATTTTAATTTCATTGCCATGACGGATCAAATCTATATATAATAAATATGTAACTAACTGTCTGTGCATTAAAGATATATGCCTATTACTGGTGGACTTACGTAATGGAGCCCAAAACAATTATTGTTACAATTGTCTGTTATCTGTTCGTTTGTGAGGTCTAATCTCAGAAACGGCAATGCGATTCGGATGCGGTTTCCACTAATGTGTTCTGATAAATTTCACACAATACTTTATAATTCTGTTATTCTAATTGGTTTAAACCCAAATAATATACGGATATGAAATTACGGGCTCGGCTTGTGTGTAATTGGTTTCTTGTAAGTGTTCTTGTTTATTTAGCTTCTGACTTTTATTCAACACTTTAAACTATTTTAAGGTTCCAAATTTAAACTATTCATGTTTTCTTCTATCTTTATTATTAGTTCATTTAAATCCAGAGACGTATGGTCCGTCCCCTTAGCTCTTGGTAATTCATTTATTATTTTCAAGATGTGACCGCAACTCGTATCAAAAAATTGGTCAACAAATAAAATTGAATCAATTATACTGCAACACTCAACAAATTATCAACACATACTGCAGATCTTCGTCAAAGGGGGGACTATTCTAGGGTTATACTGCAGATCTTCGTCAAAGGGGGGGACTATTCTACACAAACCCCCCACGTCTGGTAATTCTAAATCCAGAGACGTAAGGTCCGTCCCCTTAGCCCTTGGTAATTAATTTATTAATTTCATTATGTGACCGCAACACGGCTTTAAAAATTGGTCAAAAATTAAAATTAGTCAAAATTGAATCGATTATTACTGATATAGTGCAGATCTTCGACGAAGGGAAGACTATTCTATGCGAGGGTTCAGTGTCTGACCAGTCTCTATAAAACTTGCCTAACATAATGGATAGGGGAATATTTTTTAGCATAATCTATAATTATTGTATAAGTTACCAAAAAAATAAAAACACTTGCGGCCCCGTTTTTGTGTTCCGTGCTTTGGTTAAGTATTTATTGTAGCTTTATGAGCATGTTATTTTAAGTAATTTAAATTAAACAAGTGTAATTTATTTAATTAATTATTATTTATGAATTATAAATAAATTTTCATATTTTTTCTTCCTATTATTAAAGCTTGTAACTTTCGAACTGTATTTCTGTAAAGTTGTAATGATTCAGTCAATTCGATGTCTTTTAACAATTGTATTGTTAGTTTGTGTTTTGTAATGGTATAAAATAATAACAATAACAATTACAAATTTAATGTTTGTTAGATTACAACGAATATGTTTTAATTGTCTTCATTTTTAATCTATATAATATTTAGAGTTTCATCTCGATTATTCAGATGCGATATTTATTTAATATTTTAATTTCAATCTTCTTATGTTCAATAATTTAAAATAGATAATAATTATTTATACTGTTTCACGTGTCTTTTTATTGTATATATTTTGTATATATATAATGATGGAATGTCTAGATGTATTTATAAAATTCCAATACTGTAATGGACAGTATTATATGTATTAAAACATTTTACAATTTAATTAATGTTTATTCAATCCTAAACCTAAACTTTTGTCAGAACTATTAATATAGCCTTAGATCGATCTGTTGTCGATCGTAAACACATGTAGGCTCGAGCCGACAGTCAGCCGAGGTTCGAACCTCTAGCAGACTAGGGTCATACCTGTAAATCAGGCCTACCGAATTTCAGTCGCTAAATAAGTTATTTTAATGGTTTCGAGTACCCTACACTTGGCCCGTTTTCGGTATGGCTGCTGATATACAGTCGGTTAGTGGTTA